GGTCATAGTGGATGGCTTTGCTGCAATGGGATTCCCTAACTGTGGTGGGGTGATAGATGGAACCCATATCCCTATCTTGGCACCAGAGCACCAGGGCAGCCAGTACATAAACCGCAAAGGGTACTTTTCAATGGTGCTGCAAGCACTGGTGGATCACAAGGGATGTTTCACCAACATCAACGTGGGCTGGCGGGAAGGGTTCATGATGCTCGCATCTTCAGGAACACTACTCTGTTTAAACGGCTGCAGCAAGGGACTTACTTCTCAGACCAGAAAATAACAGTTGCGGATGTTGAAATGCCAATAGTTATTCTTGGGGACCCAGCCTACCCCTTAATGCCATGGCTCATGAAGGCAGCCTGGGCAGCAGTCAGGACCTGTTCAACTACAGGCTGAGCAAGTGCAGAATGGTGGTAGAATGTGCATTTGGACATTTAAAAGGTCGCTGGCGCACTTCACTGACTCGGTCAGACCTCAGCCAAACCAATATTCCCATTGTTATTGCTGCTTGCTGTGTGCTCCACAATCTCTGTGAGAGTAAGGGGGAGACCTTTATAGCGGGGTGGGAGGCTGAGGCAAATCGCCTGGCTGCTGATTACCCACAGCCAGAGAGCAGGGCGATTAGAAGAGCACACCAGAAGTGCTGCGCATCAGAGAAGCTTTGAAAACCAGTTTCATGACTGGCCAAGCTACCGTGTGAAAGTTGTGTTTGTTTCTCCTTGATGAAAAACCCGCCCCCTTTATTGACTCGTTCTCTGTAAGCAACCCACCCTCCCCCTTCGATCCCAGCATGCTTTCAAAGGAAATAAATTCACTATCATTTAAAAATAATTTATTCTTTATTAATTGATTATAAAAAGAGGGAGAGAACTGACAAGGTAGTCTGGGTCGGGTTTGGGAGAAGGATAGGCGGGAAGGAAAAGGCCACTAAAAAAGTTCAATATAATGACAGCCTTTTGGTTGGGCTGTCCACTGGGGTGGAGTGGGAGGGTGCACGGAGCCTCCCCCCCACCCCCCGCGTTCTTACATGTCTGGGTGAGGAGGCTATGGAACATGGTGAGGGGGGAGGGAGGTTATACAGTGGCTGCAGCAGCACTCTGTGCTCTTGCTGCCGTTCCTGAAGCTCCACCAGATGCCGGAGCATGTCCGTTTGATCACTCAGCAGCCCCAGCATTGCAGCCTGCCACCTCTCATCTCAAGTGTCCCTCATGGTCTCACATTCACTGGCATCTTTCCTGTACTTTGAAACTGTGTCCTTCTACTCATTCAGATGAGCTCTTTCATTGCAAGTGGATTCCAAGATTTCCAAGAACATTTAGTCTTGCTCCTTTTTTTTCGCCACCATATCTGAGATAGCCTTCGGGACGGAGGAGGGAGGCTTGAAAAATTTGCAGCTGCAGGAGGGAGGGAAAAAAGGAGAGAATTTTGTAAAAAGATACATTTTACAGAACAATGCTTATACTCTTTCACGGTGACCAACACTATTCACATTACATAGCACATGTGATTTCTGTGCAAGGTCGCATTTTGCCTCTTAATATTGAGCGTCTGCGACTTTGGTGTTAGAGAGCACAGACGCAGGTCCGGGCAACAGAATTCGGCTTGCATGCGGCCATGCTAAGCCATTGTCTTTTGGTTTCTGCAGCTTTCCTACAAGCAGCGCTCTCCTTTCCCACATACCAAGCAAAGCCCGTAGAGTGCTGCAGTTTTCCTGTTAACGTGCAGCAGCAGAAACCAAACTAACCCACCCCCATCGAATTCTCTGGGATGATCGCTTTATCCCTCCCCCCACCGCGTGGCTGGAATCAGGGAAGATCCCTGCAGAAACCAAACTAACCCCCCGCATCCAATTCTCTCGGATGATCGCTTTATCCCTCCCCACACTGCGTGGCTGGTATCAGGGAAGATCCCTGCTAGCCAAACGCAAAAAGCTCAGTCCCAATGATCCCCCCACCCCCCGTTTGGCTAACTGCAGGGAAGGATTTCTTTTCAGCCACAGGCCAACAGCCCAGTAGGAATGGCCACCTCTGTCCCCTTAATTAAATTCCCGTATTTCAACCAGGTTACCATGAACGATATCACTCTCCTGAGGATAACACAGCGAGATAAAGAACGGATGTTGCTTGAATGCCAGCAAACACCGGGACCATACGCTGCCAGGCTTTGTCATAGAATGATACCAGATTACTTGCTACTAGCATGGCGTGGTCAAGTGTCCTACCATGGAGGACGGAATAAGGCTGCACTGCCCAGAAACCTTGTGGAAAGGCTTCTGGAGTACCTCCAGGAGAGCTTCATGGAGATGTCCCTGGAGGATTTCCGCTCCATCCCCAGACACGTTAATAGACTTTTCCAGTAGCTGTACTGGCTGCGAATGCATCCCAAGTCCTCAGGGCAAAGTAATCATTAAAAAATGCTTGCTTTTAAACCATGTTTTATATTTACAAAGGTACACTCACCGGAGGTCCCTTCCATGGCCTCATTGTCTGGAGGTTGGGAGGGTACTTCAGTCAGGCTGAGAAAAAGATCCTAGCTGTTGGGGAGAACCGAGTGCTGTGTGCTCTCCGCTAGCTCGTTGTCATCCTCCTCCTCCTCCTCCTCTTCCCCGCCTGCAGAATCCTCAGGCATGGCTGAGATTACCCACGCCTCAGAATCCATGGTCAGAGGTGGGGTAGTGGTGGCGGCCCCCCCTAAAATTGCATTCAGCTCAGCGTAGAAGCGGCATGTCTGCGGCTCTGACCCGAGCGACCGTTTGCCTCCTTTGTTTTTTTGATAGGCTTGTCTGAGGTCCTTAACTTTCACGCGGCACCGTAGTGAGTCCCTATTGTGGCCTCTCTCCATCACGCCCTTGGAGATTTTTTCAAATGTTTTGGCATTTTGTATTTTGGAACGTAGTTCTGCTAGCACGGAAACCTCTCCCCATATAGTGATCAGATCCAGTACCTCCTGTACAGTCCATGCTGTTGCTCTTTTTCGATTCCCGGACTGCATGGTTACCTGTGCTGATGAGCTCTGCATGGTCAAGCGTGCTCTAATAAGAATATAACATTAGGGATCTATTATCAACCGCCTGACCAGGACGGTGATAGTGATGATGAAATGCTAAGAGAAATTAGAGAGACTATCAAAATTAAGAACTCAATAATAGTGGGGGTTTTAAATTATCCCCATATTGACTGGGGACATTTTACTTCAGGACGAAATGACGAGATAAAATTTCTCGATACTTTAAATGTCTGCTTCATGGAGCGGCTGGGAGGGGGACCCACAAGGGGAGAGGCAACGCTAGATTTAGTCCTGAGCGGGGCGCAGGCGCTC